AGAAACATACCAAGGGAACATGAATCAAATATGCTTTTATTCATTTACATTAAACTCATAAAGTACATCATTATGATTGAAGCTAAGGGCATACAAAACTGTCCAACATGATCCGCGTTAAAAATCTTATTGGTCATGTCAGCCTCTATGTCTTAACCCACATCAAAAAATCCGTTGGTCATGTTAGATTCTATGCTTTGACCCATGTTAGAAAATCCCATTGGTTATGTCAACTTCTATGCCTTGACCCACATCGGAAATCCTATTTGTAAGTCTCCTTTCTTTGACCAACACTAGTATTTTAACTGAGTAAATAGAGGTGATATAAATGATAATAAAAAAAATAGAGAAATGAGAAAGGAAAGAAAAACTAAAAAAATAGAAAAAAAAAAGAAATGAATGAATGAAATGAAGGATAAATAATGTCTGAAACTCTATAACAATTATTTTACATTGTGTTATGTCAAAAAGTAGTTATGGTATATTAATTTCAGAACATCTATTAAAACTTGAAATATGTTATTAAAATCTTTCAAAATTCTCAAAAAAAAAAACTAAAGAATATCTGTTGGTGTTTTGTAATTATGCTTTGCAAGAATTTTTAAACATCTTGTCTTGCCTAGTCTTGACGATTGATCTTTTTATCTCTAAAATGCTTTTCTTTACGGCAAAGGTACCTTGATTCCATAAGGTTTCTAATACATAGGAGGAGTCACTTTACCAAAAGTAATTGGTTCTCACATAATAAGTTGCTTTCATCATAGTTTTCTACGTGTTTGCTTTTCTTTATGACAAATGTGCCATGATTCCGTAAGATTTTTGATACCTAAGAGGGTCACTTTGCCAAAAGTAATTGATTTTCACATGATGAGTTGCTTTTTATTAGTGATTTCTATTTATCTTTTACAGCAAATGTACCATAATTCCAAAAGTTCTTGATACCTAGGAGAGATTACTTTGCTATTTATAAAATGGCTTGAACATGATAAAACGATACTGCAGAGGAACTCTTCTTCTTTGCCTTTTCCTTACCACAATCCTCTTTCCTTGTCTTGCCCCTCTTCCATGTAGGGGTGCAAGTCGGGTGGGTTGGGCTGGGTTTTAGCTCAACCCAGGCCCAACCCTAAGAATTGGACCTAAAGCCCGAGCCCGAGGTCAAGCCCGAATTTTTCAACCCAAGCCCAACCTGCACTAAAATTTTAGGCACTCGGGTTGGGCCCGGGCCCGGGCCAAACTTGAATTGGTTAATCAGCCCAAAGGCTAAAGCCCCATATTAAAATTTAATCAGCCTAATGAGTTTTTACTCGTTTTGGGTTTCCTTAATTAATGTTGCCAACTTGCCATAATGGCATTCGAATTAAAAGAATTTGAAACGTTAAAGTCTCAAAGACACACAAAGAGTGAAAGAGTGAAAGAGGGAAATCGTGTTTAGAAAAAAAAAAAAAAAACTTAAGAAACTAATTAATGACTTTGAGTAATGGCATTGACAATTGACACATGACACCTAATATTAAATTAGTAATTTACTAATTAAATAAATACCATTAAGCCAACATAATAAGTAATAACATATACAATGCATCGGGCCAGGCTCGGGTTACCTAAGACCTCAACCCGAGCCTAACCTAAAAAAAATAAAAACTTACCTTTTCAAGCCCAAGCCCAACTCAAGGCCCAAAAAATCTAACCCAACTTGTGACAAAAATCGGGTTGGGTTGGGCCAAGCTTGAGTTAAGCCCACCCAAGTTGCACCCCTACTTCCAAGCTTACCTTTCGCAAAAATCTCCATATGCTTCTTTTTGTCTTTATTGTTTTGTAGTCTCCTACCTCACAACAAAGAGGGGAAGCTGTCAGCACGCGATTTTTGCTCGATCTGCTGTTTGAATCCGAACTCACCCCAAATTTCCAATTAGACCCTTTCGATCTCTCTGAAACACTCAAAAACCCAAATTTTACCCTAAAAGCCCTCAAATCTACCGTTAAACCTGCTCAATACCTATCTGATAGCCCCGATCGACCCCTACTTACACCTTAACCATTAGATCAAACACAACCACCAAACACAGGACCTCCTAAAACACCTACCCATGAAATTTGAACTCAAGATTCCTCCGTTCACCCGTCCATCAAACTAAGATTCCATTTCAACCTCTCTCGTTAGCCTAAACACTTGGAACCCCGATTCCCTTGATCTTGACACATCCGAACTGATCAAACCACAATATTAAACTCCGAATACATCAAAACACTTGCCCATAAAGTTTTAACCCTAAATTCCCTTATTTGTCCTTCCATCAAGCCAAGATTCCATAATATTTCGTTGACCCAAATTTTAACGATCATGACCTAACTGGGCCAATCTAACCTCACAAATCACCCCAAAATGATAAAAAACCCCTACATATAAAATTTTAACCCCAAATTCCCCTATTTACCCTTATCAAACAAAGATTTTATTTGGACCCCTATCGCATCCACAATCCATATCCGCTTGATCCGAACACATTTAAACTAATCAAACCTTGCCAATCACCCTAGAATGCCAGAAAACCCCTACATATGAAATTTCAGCCCAAAATACTTGCATTTACCCTCAATTGTACCAAGATTTAATTTCAAGGCTCTATATTAACTGGATTCCAAATCCGCCCGATCCAGGACCAACTAGCCTAATCTAACTTTACCAATCACCTCAGACTATCCAAAAACCCTACCTTGTAAAATTTCACCCAAAACTATCTCTGTTTACCCCTCGGTCACAATAGATCCGTTCTGAGGCTTCAAATTAATCGAATCAAGCCATTTCCAAATCTGCCCAATCCGGGCCCATTTAGCCCAATCTGACCACACCAAACAACTCAAAATATCCAAAAACCCCACTATCAAATTTCAGTCAAAACTACCCCCATTTACCCATCCATCTAGAAAGATTTTGTTTCGGCCAATCTCACTAGCTCACACACACAAAAMCCTTCTTTGTGATCGGACCAATCTCAAACCTCAATTTTTTGGCTCAAAAATCTCAATCATCCATAGGGATGTTCATAACAAGACCCAAACCGACCAATCCGGTCCGATCCAACCTGAGTTGGTCGATTTTTCTTTATCACCGGTCGGTTTCGGGTTACAAAAAATTATAAACCAATGATTCGTTTCGGTTTCGGTTTTCATGTGACCCGAACTAACTTATATATATATAAATATATATATATATATTTATATATATATATATTTCAGCTTTATTTCAGAAATATACATATTATATATAAAATATCAGTTTTAATCCATCAAATAATTTTTAATTTTCAGGCATCCAGCCTTTGCTTTCTTAGACTTTAATCCTTTATCGTTCACATCAAGAGAATCATTCACAAAACCGACCAGGCGGTTTTGGTTTCATTTCTAGGTAAACCGACCAAGTCGGGTCGGTTGGAAAAACGCCAGTAAACCGACCCAACCCGACCTGTGAACACTATTCATCCATCAAAGAACCCCCGTTTAGCCCCTAAACCCGGTTTAACCCAAATTTCCTGAAATTACAGAAATGCCCCTGGAGTTGCTCAAAATAACAAAATTGAACCAGCGACGGCGCACCCTTACCTCCGGCCCAAATCTCCCTCTCCCAATCTCTTCTTCTTCTTCTTCTTCGTTGCAGCGGCAGCTTGGATCAAACCAGTCCGATTTCTCTTCCCTCAGGTCTCTCCTCTCTCTCTTCCTCTTTCCTTCTCTCTTCTTCTTCTTTCCAACCTCGAGAGGTCACTGTTAAGGAAAGGGGGCTACTGTTCTGACTGTTCATCATCGTCTTCTTCTACCCGAAGCACAGCGACGGCAGACCGGCAACATAACTCCGATCTACTATTTCTCCCTCCATCAGGAGGCGGCGGCGGCAAGCAGCGAATCAGAGGGCGGCGGCGATATTCCTCATTTCCTGTCCGATCTCCGTGTCTGCTTCACCGCCTGATTGCGACCTTTGATCGTCATCGATGGACCCAGATGAGTTGTTCAAGCTCCATTGAATCTACCTACAGCATCGATATCAGGCCAAAATCTTGAATCTGGTGAGTTCCTATTTGTCTTGCATTTTTTTCTCTATTTTGATTTTATCACCCGTCTTCTTTTCTCAGACTCGGCATTCCATCGTAACCATCAGAGGCGGCAATGAAACCTGGTAGAGCCACTCTCTGTAAAATCTCGGGTTGATGATGAATGTGGTAGTGAGAAGAGTTGTCGCGAGTGTTCATTTGCATTTTTCTCGTTTATTCTCGTTTAAATCACTTTTCCATGTTTAGAGGTTCCCGCTTACTGTTCAATAGCTTGTTCTTCCACTTCTATTGCATTTGCTGCTTTAAAATTAGACAAGAATTTGCTCTTCTTTTTATTATTTATTTATGTAATTTGCTATTTTTTTTTTTTTTTAAATCGTTGGATCTTCTGAAGCTTATTAAGTCATGTTTCTATACGTGAAGTTTGCTGTGTTTTCCTGTTAGCTATCGGCTTGTTTCATTGGGATGCTTTCTAGTTGTTTTTGCTTAGCCGAGTAGGATGGTCAGAGTTGGGAAGAATGATTCGGTTCAATTTACTAGAATTGTGAGCAGTGCGGTTTTAAATATATATAACAAAATAAATAAATAAGGAGATAGTAATTACAAAATATGAAAAATGGGAATGGTTTAACAGGTCGGGAAGATTAGAGGGGAAAGAGTAGGTTAGTGAGTAATTAATGAATAAATTTACGAATAGTGTGTCATGAGAAAATAACCAGAAATAAGATTGATAAAAAAATAAAAAAGGAGGAAAGGAAATAAAAATAACAAATAACAAAAAAATAGTAAAAAGATAAAAAGGAGTAATAATAAAAAAGAATAGAAAAGTAAGAAATATAATAAATAAATAAATAAATAGGAGTAGAGAAGATTCTCTCTTAAATAAATAAATAGGAGTAGAGAAGATTCTCTCTTCTTATCTAAGTCTTACCCATACTGGTTAGCTGGTGCCACGAACTCTGGAGTCACTATTTGAACCAAATCAGATTTTAATGCCATTTCCGGAGGTCCCATCACCTCCATCTCCATAATTGATGGGTAGCAATTGCATTTCCAGCACAAGTGAGCCGTTTTCCTGACGCTCACAAACATTATTGTGGATTTTAATAACAGGGTACACCATTGCACCAAAAGAAATAATAAAAAAGAATGGAAAAGTAAAAAACATAATAAATAAATAAATAAAAGTAGAGAAGATTCTCTCTTCTGTTCACCTTTTTGCAGTTTAATTTCTTCATGATTAATGTCTTTCAATTAAGTGTTTTGTGTTTTGCTTGTTTGTAACCCCATGTGGGCCCCACCTATTGGACCCGGGAGAGGTGTGCCTAACCCCTTCCCTCTCCTATCTAAGTCTTACTCATACTGGTTAGCCAGTGCCACGGGCTCTGGAGTCACTATTGAACCAAAACAGATTTTAATGCCATTTCCGGAGGTCCCACCACCTCCATCTCCATGATTGATGGGTGGCAATTGCATTTCCAGCACAAGTGAGCCGTTTTCTTGACGCTCACAAACATTATTGTGGATTTTTAATAACAGGGTACAAACAAAGGGTGGTCAGTGGGTGAATGGAGCCTACCTGGAGAAGGAAGCTACAAATTAAACTTTGATGGGTGCTGTCTTGGAAATCCTGGGGTTTCTGGAGTGGGAGTGGTCAGGGACTCTGGGTGGTAATGTAATTCTCCATTACTCAAGACCAGCTGGCTCCCGAATCTCCTCGAGGACAAAATTGTTAGCTTTAGTTTAAGGCATTAAACCAGTAGCTCATCAGGAGTTTTCAAATATAATAGTTAAAGGGGACTTCCAAACTGTCATTAGTTGGATGAATTCTTAGGATCAAGTACTTTGGCAATTCGGAATGCTGGCGAGATTGGCTCATTCCTTGGGTGCCAGCTTGAACATCTCATTCATCTGGGTATCCAGGAGTGCAAATACGTTAGCTGATTCTTTGGCAAGGTTGGGTGTATGAAAGGATTGTTTGGATTGGGGTTGCCCAGGTCTGGGCTGTAACTTGTACGATCTTTCCTACCTTTTTTCTTTGGATTTTTCTCTGTTGTAAATTTGTAATCTTTATTTGGTCTATTGTAGAGGGTTTGTTGTATTTTGTCCATCGCTATTATTATGATCTGGATGGCTGCTTCTCCCTTTTAATGAAATTTACGCCTGTTGCTAATAAAAAAAAGTATTTTATGTACTTCCCCTGTGAGATTTATGATTTTAGATTGCAAATCATTTGTAGAATTTGAGAATCTACAGTCCATTGTTTCTTGGAAAATAAAATCATTAGAATCAGTGTGTATTTCTCTTTATGTCCTTTCTTGTTCTGTCTTTTTTTTTTTAATCTAGTTTTCAGGACAACAGCAAATGATCTATATCTCATGTATGGGGACTCGATAGGACAGTAATTTAGAAGATATTTTGGAGCACTTAGGACAGAATTGCCATGGTGATGCTCTACATTCTTATCCATTTCTTGAATGAAATTGGTCATAGCTCATTTGTGCATTGCAAAACCACACATCCACAAGCTTGGGAGAAGATCTATTGCCATGGCAAGGCCATTTGATCCATAGGAAAAGTAGATTGTGGTAGTAAGGAAATACATTATTGAAAGTTCTTTAATACTTTGTTGAATATGTTGCTCTAGTTGTGTTAGTTCAAAGATTGATGCTTATCTCATCACTCCTGATCGCATCACTCTTTATCTTTTTTTTTTTTTTTATAATTAGTAACAGGCAATTTTATTATACAAGAAAATTAATAATATGTACAAGGAAAGGTGCCAGGCACCCCAAGAGGCTATCATTGAGCCTCCCCAAAACTTATATGCATACTCTTTACATCACTCTTTATCTCTGGGAACTTGCCATGTTTCCCGCTTCATTTACGAGGAGAGAAAAAGAGTGATGTAAAAAGTGCACATCCTTTAGGTCATTTTTCCTCGTAACGGAAATGGGAAATTTGCTATTTTTCCCTAAGGTTTGACTATAAATGAGCCAAGGCAGTTATATATTTATTGAACAATTTTGCTTCTGTTGAATCAAGTATGAGGAGTCTAACTTAAGTATTGAATGGCTTTCAGGTTTTCCCCTTATTGAATCTGTTCGGTTCTTCAACAGATAATTGGAGGTTTAGAGGGCAATCATGGATGGTATTGTTGATTCTTTCTCTGAAATAATGATATCTCCACTACTTATTAATAAATAAATACATAAACAAATAAGCAAATAAAATAATGATATCTCCACCAAACTAACAATATATATTTGTTTGGGTATTTTGAACTAGAGTACTATATTTTCTTGAGAAACTTTTTTTCCTCTCTTCCTTTTTCAATCTCAAAGAAAGGAACTCATGTTAAGCACTGGAATTTTATTCAAACAATCAACACTTTATTTTTTTGAAATATTAGTATCTTATTTCAATCTCAAGCAAAAGGCAATATAAATTGCAGTTTTCCTTCATTGACTGTATCTATTCTGTTTATTCTTTTCAGTAAGTATTAGTACAAGTATAATTGAGTTTTATGGGGTTGTTCATTACAAGAAAAAACATGGGACTCAAGAAAGGCTATTGTTTAGGTGAATAAACTGAAGCATGGTTCAGTTTTTTTTCCCTTTTCTTTCTTCCATTGTTTTTTTTTTTCCATTTTGGAGCGCATTTTTATAGTATGATTTTGTCCTGGTTCACTTACCATCCCCTCCAAAGAAAAAAAATGCAGGACAAGAAGAAAGAAAAAAATAAAGACCCAAAACAAGAAGAAAATAACCTTTTAATAGATAAAACTCAACTATATTAATGAGTTCCTTTTACCTTTTCTTTCTTTTGGCTTCAGTTGATTCAGAGCCAACCATGGAGGAAACTATTTTGGTTGGTGATGACCTTATGATGGGACCACCATCACCCCTCATCCCCCCAGAAATTGCTTCTCATGTTCTTGAAGGTGTTGATTTATGTGATGGAATCTTGAGGAATTTATTCTTGTGTAAGTGGTCGATTGATTTTCTACATTCTCTATTGTTGTTCAACAAAGAGTGGTATTGCAACTTACCATAATTTGGAATTGTGATATTAATTAGATCATGGAAAACTGCGGTGACAGTCAAGATAGACCATAAAGTCAATAGTATATTATGTATGACAAGGGCACACAGGGGATAAGGAAATTGCCTGGATTCCCACGCAAAAAACCTGAAGACATGCTTCCCCAGAGTTTTACTTCTATCAATTGTGATAGTTCAAAGATTGCAGTAGGTTGGATAGTTATGGTAATTAGTTGTAGAAATATTGGATGTCCACATGGTGGTCCTCCCCATTTACTTGTGTGCCACATACTAGGCTATGCCCCAACCATTTGTTAAAATTTGTATCATTGTCTACTCTGCAGGACCTCAGATTTCCCTAATAAGATATTAGTTTTTTTATCATTTATTACAAGATATTATTCCACACAACTATAAAGATTGACTATATTATTTCATTCCAGGTTTGCAAATAAATGACATAGAACCTTTCTGTCAAGATGAGATTGCTCTGTACAGACAATGTGCCGAGAAACGAGTAAGATAATTATTTTTACTTGCTTCTGTTAGCATTACAACACATTACCTTGTGCCTAAGTTCACAAAACTGAGTTGCAGGATAAGGAGCTAAGACAGCGCCTTCAAGACAGTGAGCATAAATTAGGATTATCAATGCCTTTAGATCAAGCAAAAGATAGGGTTGCTCAACTTCAGACTGAAGTCACATCACTGGAAAGGTAACTATAAATTCAGTGGATTTGTCCCTGGGTAGACAAGAAAGGTTTTCAGTTTGCTAATGGCATATCATATCTATGCTTTATGATTTTAACCATGCGATTGTCTATTAACTGTACTGGCAGAAAATTGTAGCTCTTAATATTAGGTTCTTCCTACTAGGTCAACTTTTGACCCAGAGGATTCTCTTGACAGATACTGATTGTTGATTCTAACACCCCTGCCCAATGTGTAGTTCAGATAGCAGCATATCCAAATGTTCTTTGCCCGGACATGGATATCCCTCATGGACTAATGGGCTTTCCTTACTACCTCGATAAAAAAGTAGCATGTGATATGCAATTATGTTTGTGCGCATTCCCCCTAAGGTATTTCCCCAGTTTATAAAATGCATCAATCACATGAGCATGCACATTCAGAAGCAATCATCAAATACACTAATGATACAGTTACCTCAAGGGAAATTTCTTCTCTAGTTTCAGGGCTCATTTTTAAGGTAGTGGTGCTTTTACTTTGTCCAAAGTCATTATCTTATGGAACAAATACGCATGCTAAAATAGACTAAAAGAATACTTACTTGTTGGACAACCAATCTATAAGTCAGTGATTATCCATTTAACATTTTCCTTTGAGAACTAGCCAGATTGTCATTCTCATTTATATGATGTGGAATTATTTCACTCCTCAATGTTAAGTTTTTCACATGCTATACATTTTAATATTATAGGCGCTTAATTCTTGCTAGTGGAACTGAAGGCATGGAAGGCTTCCGTCAGAGATGGAGTTTGCATGGTCGCCTTGAGGATACCAGGTATTCCATGTTACACTCCTCTTTAGATTGTCAAGGACTAAAAAGCATTTTTCTATTTTAGCAATTTCACCATGAGGCACGCATACTGTGGCTTCCAGAATATTCAATTGGTGGAACACTTTGTTGTATTCATCAGAACAAAATCTTCAGCTTAGTTGAATTCCATGATAAAGTCCTCTTGATGTAAAGTGTGAACCATCATCTAATGGTGTGATGTTTTAGGCTAGGAGATCTGTTGCTGTGGATCCTTTGGATTGAATAGTCACAACTTTATCCCTTTACATGTCTAACAGTGTATGACTTAGAAAACATGAAGTTTCATGCTAAAGCTGCAGGGCCAAAAAACATGAACTTTAGCATGACTTAGAAAACATGAACTTTAGCATGAAGTTTCATGCTAAAGTCGCAACTTTTTTTTTTTTTTTTTTGCGTGTGTGTGTGTGTTAAAAGATCCATGATACACTAGAATATATGTCTGAAATCTGGCTCGAGTTCTCTGCTTTGATTGATCATTATCAGCTAATTTGATTCAATTTCAAATGCAGAAAAAGATTAGAGTCTTTGAACCAAGGAATCAACAAGAGGCAAAAGGAAGAGTCTGATGGTGCTTCAACAACCAAAAAATGGTTCTTTTGGTAATTAAAACACATGCTAGTTTGGAATACCCCATAAATTTGTCACTCTCATCCAGCGTCTGATATACACCTATCTACAGAAGTGCAATAAACATGTTATTGCAATGACTTATGTAACTTAAGTTATTTGGGAGTTGGGACAATTCAAACCTGTCGCAAAACCTGAGATTCCTTAGCTCTTACAGGTTTAAATTTTCCTGTGCTAGCTCTATTAGTAACCTAGAAAATTTTCCTGTGCTAGCTCTATTCCTTAGCTCTTACAGGTTGGGACAATCCACTACATTAAAGGGATGCAATCAAGGTTCAAAATATCGGTATTGCATATGGAATGGTAAGCTTGGAAATTGATATGTACCACAATACACTTTGAATACATATAGATACTAAATCTAATGTTGAAATAACCATGAACATAGTATAAATTCATAAGAAATGCATTTATATGAAGAAATGCATTACAGTCTATACTGGGACATGAGATAATGCATTAATCAACTTTACTGATAATGCATCAATAAGGAGTCCAAGAAACATGGTATATAAATTTTTACAAATTGCTACATAAAACCATTAATATATTATTATTACTGTGTTGAAGACACTTATTTTATGTATCTATTATATTTTTAATTTCAAAAGCAGTTATTTTCTAATTTATTATTTTTACTTTTGTATCATCATTATCATCCTTGCCTTATCCCAATTGTATGGGGTCAGCTACCTGAATCTTGCTTCTCCACTTCTTTCTATTTAAAACCATATCAATTGTTAAATTATTGATTCATAAATCATTTCTTACTACTACCTATGTCCTTTTAGGTCTGCCTTCAGATCTTTTAGCTACTTCCACTTATAATAAATCACTTCTACTTGGAGTTGTTGATGGTTTTCTATGCACTGATCATACCATCTTAGCTTGTTCTCTCATTTTATCACTTTGGAGTTACTCTTAAGTTTTTAATATTGCTTCATTCCTGATCCTATCCTTTCTAGTTTTTCCACTCATCCATCTTGGCATGCATATTTCTGTTACATTCATTTTTTGAACATGTTTTCTTGAATGCCCAATATTTTACTCCATACAACATAATTGGCATTATAACTGTTTTAAAGAATTTTCCTCTTTAAGTGGTATTATCCAGACCTATCCCACAAAGGTTTAGATGCATTCCTCTATTTTTTTTTCCAACCTACTCTTTTTTTTGTAATAATTTCCAACCTACTCTAATTCTTAGTTTTACTTTTGTATATTAACAAAAAATGCCCAATTAATTTTTTATTCTTAAGCATTTTGTAGGTAATATTCTTACTTTTGTAAGTAATAATATATTTTTATTTTAAATTAATATATTTTAATAATTTATAAGAATACAATCTTAGTTTTGGAAAAACTTAGAAGGATTAATCCAAGAAATTTCAAATGAAGAGAAAATTTAAATGGGTATACAAGGAAAAGAAGCATAGGATATGATATGGTACATGAAAAATTTAGATTTGGGGAAATGAATGAACTAAGAGGCATAATATTAGATTTTGCAGTAGATTATGATATAGCAATTTTAAATACCTTTTACCAAAAGAATGATGAGCACTTAATAACATTTAAAAGTAAACTAAACATAAGTCAAATAAATGCTTTTCCTTACTAAGAGAAACAGAACGAATAATGTGTAAAGATTGCAAAGTTATTCCAAAAAAAAAGTTTAACGACAACACAGATTAGCGGTAGTAGGTGTGTGCATTAGGAAATAGAAGACAAATATAGAAAACAAGTGTCCAAGAATTAAGTGTAAAAACCTAATAGGAGAAAAAATAGCTCAATTTAAAAACAAGTTTATAATAAAAGGGAATTTAAATTTAGATAAAAAGATTAATAATATCTAGCTTAAAATAGCAAATAACAGAAAGAAAGTAACGAAAGAGATCTTAGTAGAATTGAAAAGATGTATGAGGGGGTAACAACCAATATTAGAAAACTAGTGTGAGATTTTAGATTTTACCAATGTTTAGAAAACCGGATCAAGCATGGACCTAGAAAGGGGAGAGGTTCATGGTTTAGAGGCTCAACCAAGGTAAAACTGGAGGTTAAACCGTGATGATGTAATATATATATATAATTATATTATTCTATAGCATATAGGGGTAAAGCTCCTTTTGCACATTGGGAACATGTAGATCTCAAAAAGTTGTTTAAAGATCACCCCAATCGAACATTTGAGTGCAAAGTTATTGTCTTTAGAAGTTTGCACTTATGCATTAAAAAAATAAAAAAAAAAACAATCGATTTTCTAAAATTGGGACTGGGTCGTCAGTTTTTCGATTTCATTGTTTGGGTCACCAGATTTTGGTCAATTTGTTAGACATTATGGTTTTGGGAGTATGACCAAACTAGCTAGGGGCCCAGGTCACGATATAATTGGTCAGTTCGGTCCAATTTTCTTAACATTGAATTTTACAATTATGATAGGTCTTCACCAAGGTTTAACACTATGCCCTTATCTATTTTAAGTAATCATAGATGAATTGACCAAACACTTTCAAGAAGAAATTTCATGGTGCATATTTGTTGGTGACATTGTTTTAATTGATGAAACTAATAAAAGATTAAATATAAAATTAAGCTTACAAAAAATTTCCTAGAAAGAAGGGGTTTTAAAATAAGTAAAATTAAAACAAAGTGTATGACATGTAAATTTAGTAATAATAGAAGTGTCATTCAAAATACAGTTAAGATTGAAAACCAAGAGATAACTCAATGTGACTATTTTCAGTACCTTCTTCAATAATTCATAACAAGGGAGAAATTGAAGAGGATGTCACCTAAGAGTATTAAATTAGGTTAGATAAAATGGAGGGAGTGCATTTAGACTTTTGCGTAATAGGAAAATACCATTTAAATTAAAAGGAAAATTCTATAAAACAACTATAAGGCCAGCTATGTTGTATGGAATAGAGTGCTAGGCAATCAAGAAATAATGTTTAGAAAGTGGTTATGGCAGAAATGTAAATGTTGAGATGGATGAATGGAAAAACTAAATAGTATAGGATCAAAAATAAAATCATCCAAAGGAACTTAGGAATAGTTCCAATAAGTGATAAAATGAGAGAAAACTTATATAATTTGATCATGTGCATAAATGACCAGCACCAACTCCAATTAGAAATGATTTGTTACTAATGAAAGGGGCTAAAAAAGCTAGGGGTAGACCAAAAAAGACATGGATAGTAGTAAAAATTGAAATAAACACTAATAATTTATTAATTTAACAGTGGATATGGTTTTAAATAGAATGAAATGGCGAAATAGGATTCATGTAGTGGACCCCATATAGTTGGGATTAGGCATGGATGATGATGACAATCTTAATTTAAAAATACATCATATCTATTAAAAATTCTTAGATACATATATGATATGCAAATTCAAATTTGAAAAACGAGAACAAATAATGATGGGAAATAAAATGTCATTAAGTGCACAATTAATGATTTAAGTGGGATTCAAGGAGTTCAATGGCATACTTAATAAACAATTAAATTAAATTTCAAAAAATTGGTTTGTATACGTTGATATAGAGCAACATAATCAATGCATGCCACTGATCGGAAGATACATATGGGCTTTCGAGGAATGGTGTTAAATCAAATTACTTCACTAGTGCCACATGTTGGTTGATACAAAACATGTAGTTCATTATTCATGTCAATTTTCTAAAATGTGGATGTGATTCATAAACAACTTTTTGTTTAAGGGCTGAATAGAAAATTGATGTCATTGGGGACATCCACATCATTCAAGACGATAGATTAAGCCAATCTTCAATATCCACAAGTGCATCACAGCTAGCCGTTCCATACAAAATCTCGTGCTACAAGCCTACAACTTACCTATACAGCCTGTGGGGATTATAAATAGAGCTTCAAATTCAGAATTTCCTCCAAAATTTTAAAACCAGCAATGGTCAAAGGATGGCTACGGTCGTCAGACTAACCTCAATACTCGAAGACCTAGAGTACCAGCAAAGTAGGCTTTCACTTGTGTTTTTCCCCAGATAAAATTGCGTCCTGCAGTCGGACATGGAAGTTTCTAATTTTGTCTGAGACAACTGACGGGATATCTTTCGAACTTTTCTAGTTTTCTTCAGATATGGTAAACCTTATGTAGATCTGGGGAAGATGGGGAAACAACTTTGATATTGGATGTGTTTCCAACTACCAAGTTAGATAATTTTCCGAGCATAAGATTTGGTTTTAACTTCTAAAGAGTCGATCTAGGAGTTGGTTCTCAATCGGAATTATTTGTGGTGTTAACATCATGACAGCTTATAAACTCAACGGTTGGATTAATGATAAGCATAGATAGATTTACAACATTGACCGTAGTACCTGGTAATAATACAAGGGCTACGAAATACATGCCTCAATAATAAACCAACTTTCAACCAAAAATATAATAAGCTATTATACAAAATCAAACTTACACAAAATTACTAAAGCTTTTGAGAATATATTGAACTCTGCAAATGAAGATGAGGCACCAATTAGGGGGTACATCACTTCTGTTTTAGAATCACCTGGGCAGCTCTTGAGCTTTCATAATTGAAAATACCAACAGTGACTGCACAATAGACCCACAAAACTGATTATGAACAATTCCACAGAAGTTGCTTTTGTATGCGAGCAGTGAATATAGTTCTGTAGCTCAATCTCCTCTGAAAAAGAAGCCTGTCACATTGCCTCAGCTTTAGGCATAAGCTGCCCTCCTATCCATGCCTAACCTGGTTATATAATACATTAATTTGCAGCAGACTACAAGTGCATTCAGGAAAAGGAATCCCTGAGGTCAACCAAGGGAAGGCAGCTCTCTATGAATCAATGCAGATTGAGTTTGGGATCAGAGAAGCAGATGCTACTTTTATCGAACTTCTAGGGTCCACAGACTACATTCTTCAAGAAGTTTGAATGTTTGATTGACAGCTATTTTCAGGAAAACTTGCATTTTACTAAAGAATTCGGACACATCTTCCTTGCACCTGAATGAACCAGCACAGGCACACTGCTCAGCTAGATGTGCAGCTTTAATTTGGTTGCACTTGAGGCAAACAAGGTCCTGAAGATGATAGAGACGTTCTCTTTGCCGGACAATTTGGAGAAGAGCATTCTCCATTTGTTCACGATCATAGGGCTGCCCACACTGTGGCATGGAACATCGCCACTCCTGGGCTAGCAAAGCTGAATCCCGACACAAATCTAGATCTCTGCAATCATTGCAGTAGCTGCGACAGAATCTAAATTAATAACTAGTTTCAAAACAACGAAATTTTCTCAGAGCTCATCATATTGATTCAACTGATGATAAGGATACATAGGAGTGAGACATTTTTTGATCAACTCAAATATTTTATTAATAGAGAAGTTATGATACAAACTATTTAAGCAGTAAAGTCATTGCTCCTATAAAAGCAGTATAGGAGAGAAACATATTCTCCCAAAAACATGACAAATTTCAATGAAGTACAAAGAAATACCCATGAAGTGCCCAAAGAAATTGATTTCATGACAAAAATATCAACTAAGAACATGCAACTATATTTGAACTTCTGAATTGGAAAATCACATAGATAACTAGAAGCAATATGTTTGCATCTCATGTTCTTGTGAAGTTTTGGGGGGGATGCAGTTCTTACTGCTACTTGAATCCCCCTCCAAACTTCTTTCTCCTAGTGTCCTACTCCTCTCAAAGTATTAGAGTGTACTTGCTATGTCCATATTCCTACTTATTATGGACATAGAGTGTACTTGCTATGTCCATATCCCCTTTTCAAAGTGTTGTGCCTAAGGACTAGGCAAGGCACATACCTTAAAATGTGCCTTGCAAATGTCCCTCACCTGAGCACCTAGGCACGCCTTTTAAATCAATGTTTAATACCTCTTTATGGGGCTAGCACTAATAATTTTGGGTTTGCCTGTGAAGCTGCACCAAGGATTATTAAAATGGGAAGCAAACGGGTTGAGAGAAGGCAGGATTCCATTCGGATTTGGGGTGATGGAGGGGATCTCCAATGAAGGTCAGAGTTTATTTGGTGTGTTTAGGGGTGCAACATGGGCAGGTCCAACCCAAGCCCGACCCGACCCGACCCAACCCGGGCATGCTTGAAAAAATGCATACATATGTGTGTTGTATTTATGGAAAAATATCTTGTTTTTCTAATTATGTATTTGTACATTTGTAAATGGAATTTGTACATATTTTTTATCAATTGTACTCTTAAAATGGACCACAAAGCCCAATAAAAGATTACTACATAAAGATATATACATAAATTCTTTCAAACCCAACCAACCCACCCAAGATTGACTAACCCAAGCCCAAGCCCAACCCGAGTTGTGTTGGATAAAGCTCAAGCTGGGTTGATAAACTTGGGCTTAACCTCATGTTGGGCCAGGGGCCCGAACCTGAGGTTTGCACCTTTAGGTTGGGCTTGGGCTGACCTTCAACCCAACCCAACCCAACCCACCCAAGTTGCACCCCTAGGTGTACTAGTTTGGTCAAGTTCAGGGTCCTTTTAGGGTGCTGCAGGTGAACCTCTTCATTTAAAATTTGGTGCTTGGAAGTTGAATGTCAAGCTATTTTGTTTTCTATTCAGTTTGCAAGGTTGCAGAATTGGAAAGTGCCAACTGTTGAATGCGTTCTTAGATTTTTCTTCTTTTGATTCTCGCCCTCAAAGGATCCAAAGCTTCAATTCCTTGGACCTTGTGGGATGCATTGGATGAGATCAAATCTGTTGCTTCTTGTTTTGATTTTATTTCATTTTATCATGTAAGTAGAAATTCTAATAGAATAGCTCACTGTATTGCTCAGAAAGCCAAGTCATTTAGGGATATTTTAGTATGAACTATGGAGGAACTTTCCTCCAAACTTTGTTGATCTCTCTGATGTACCGAACAATTCTAGGAGGGGGGGGGGATTACTTGGTGTAATGATAAAAATTTCGGGCTGGCAAGCATGAAAATGTAGGTCCAAGTCTGAGGGCAGCCACTTTGTGTGGAAAAATGCCAAAAGTTAGGACTGTAACCAGTATACTTCCAAGACCCCACATAGGTGGATCAACATTGGGTAATGACCATTCTTTACCTTTTCCGTAGCATACAGTGTAATAGGTCAAAAGGAATAGGCCACCAGACCGTTTTTGTGTAAGAGGTGATACTCGTTTCAGGTTCTCAACTTCTCCAATCTCAACTCTTAATTTGGTCTATATTCATGTCAGTTCAACTTTAAATGCATTCTTAGTTAATGTAACATTTTCCTTCACATTGTTTAAAGATATAAATGTCATGCACCCCAAAGAATAAGCCTAATGCCTATTACTATAGGAAGATAACCTTTTCTCATCATGGCTGGACAATACAAAAATATCATCTGGGAATTTTCCTTTATTTTCATACCTGCAAATAACATTTGGCAAGGTGAACGATACACAGGGATCATGAAACTCAGCTTCTGGAGCAAACTCCCTAACACGTACATATTTTAACAAATTCTTCCTCATGACCTGTAGAATAAAGAACATGGAAGCAGACTTTATCAACCCTTCTAAAGACAATTTTAAGGAATCATCACAGAAACAGAGTGAACATGTTCAAGTATCATTACATATTTAGCTTGTCAAGGAAAGGCTGTGGCTCCCAAGATCATAACTGCAATTAAATATATATTCAAAGCCAAATATGGGGATGGGAAAATGTAAGGTTAAGCCTGAATGTGATTTGCAGGTAGATCAATGGACCGGTTTTGGATTGGATCCTGTCCAAACCAAAATCAATTTGGATGGATTGGACAGACCAACAATTCATAGTGAATTGGATCAGCCCAGACTTAATGGTCCAAAGTATTTATTGGATTGAACCTGATCCATCCATAATGAATTTATATTGAATTGGGTTGGATTGAGCCAAAATCTGGTCCGTTGATAGAAGAAGATAAGATATAGGTGTCAATGGACCAAGTTTGGGTTAGAATTAATCTAAACTAAAACAAATTTGAACAGATTGGGCGGTCCAAACATTGAATTGGACCAGTCCAAAATATTCATTAGATTGGATTGCGTCCATTTTTAATGGACTCACATTGGACTTGATCAGATTGGACCAAATCCAATCCAATTGACAGCCCTACTTGCAGGCCCATGTACTATCCCGTGAAATTTAATAATTACCGAATATTTAAACATGAAATATAATTCTTTTGAAGGAAATACAATATTTGTTGGAAAGGGATAAAAATCTAGGGCTGCAAAGGGACCAGATCAAATTCAGATAGGGGTATATGCTAATCTGATCTAAAAAGAATCTATAGATCTGAATTCAATTTGATATTTGAAGTACATATAAAATACAAATTCAAATTCAATTTAACATTTCCAGATATCCAATTGAATTAAAGTATCAATATATTGGCTTGCTGTTTTCTCTTTGAGCGGTATGGCCATTCTATTTAATGAAATTTATCGTTGCATATAAAAAAAAAAATATTAGTATATATTTACAAAATTAAATATAAAATAAAATATGTACTATAAATAGAAAAATAGATATACCTAAATCCGAAGTCCCTCTTAATTCCAAAGAATTTTAATACAAAAAAACAATAATTTTTTTCATATCATCATCATCCAAGCCTTATCCCAACCATATGGGGTCAGCAACATGAATCCTGTTTCAGCATTCCTTTAATGCCATATCCATTGTTAAATTATGGGCACAAAAAAACAGTATTTCTTTATATGCATATATAATAATTGAATCAGATTGGATCAAGCAATATTCAATTTAAGTCAATTAGTAAATGGATCATATTTTAAATTTCAATTTGAACTAATTATGGCTAACAGACACAAGGGTGGGCTTTGGCACAATAGTTAGGTTGCCCATTGCGACCTAGGTGACCAGGGTTCAAATCTTGGAAACACCCTCTCTGTTATCTGGTAAGGTTGTATACATTTGTCCCTCCCCAGACCCCATATTGGAAAGAGCCTTGTGCACAGGGCTGTCCTTTTTTGTCCAAACAGACAGCCAAATCTGACTTAAACTAACCAGGTTCGAATTCAAATCAGGTTAAATCCAATTGATTTTCAGCCTATTAAAGCATGCATCCAGAATATTGTTAGCAAGACCCTCGGACAGGGGACACAAAGCAACTAACAATGTTTTAGAAATGGTTTGCATCCCTTACAAAAAGGGAAAATAAAATAGGGGTGTTGGGTTCATGCAAGTGTAGATCACTAAAATGGTTTGCATCATTAGTGTGCAAAAAATGCATTTTCAACCTAGAATTATAGTCACTACAATTGGGAAGTTTCAGACTGTCACTTAGTCTAAAGAAACCTTGTGGACTCTCGGGATCGATCTGCATTGGAGATTGATTTGGAACTACTCGTAGGAACAGCTGCACTTTCTCCAATTCGCCTGGGTTCCCAGGTTGAGGTATTTATCTTCAATGAAGGGGGACTCGTTGTAGACCAGTTGTTTTATAGGTGTGCTACCTTATTTTTGTTTACAATGAGGCTTTTAGTGATTTATTGAGTCAATGGAGAAATCTGGACTTGATTCTAAGCACGGTATGGATCCCGAGGTTGGTCCAATGGGGTCTGTACATAGTTGTCAAGGCGTCGCCTAGGCGACTAGACGCCCTTGGCTGGGCGCCTCTCCCAAACGCCTTGACTTTTAGCAACTAGGCGTCCTTCTAGGCGACTAGGCACCCGCCTAGGCAACTAAGTGCCCGCCTAGGCGGCAAAAATGACAAGGCGGATGCCTTTTATAATATCATTTATATTGTTGTATCTTATTAATGTATGTGTTAATACATTTTATTATATGCTATATATATCAATTATACTTTGTTTTAATGTTTTACTATTGAAATTTAAAAGATCGAAGGGTTTTCAGAAGAGAAAAAGAAAGAAAGAAAGAAAAGAAAGAGGAAAGAAATAATA